AGGCAGCAAGGGTAAGTGTTAGAGTTAGGGTAAGGCAGCAAGGGTAAGTGTTAGAGTTAGGGTTAGGCACCAAGCAGGGTAAGTGTTAGAGTTAGGGTAAGGCAGCAAGGGTAAGTGTTAGAGTTAGGGTAAGGCAGCAAGGGTAAGTGTTAGAGTTAGGGTTAGGCACCAAGCCGGGTAAGTGTTAGAGTTAGGGTAAGGGTTAGTGATAGAGTAAGGGTAAGGGTTAGAGCTTCTGTTATGCTGTGATTAGGGTTACGATTTTGTTAGTGTTAGAGTTAGGGGAAGGGTAAGTGTTAGAGTTAGGGTAAGGGTTAGTGATAGAGTAAGGGTAAGGGTTATGCGCTTCTGTTATGCTGTGATTAGGGTTACGATTTTGTTAGTGTTAGAGTTTGGTTAAGTGTTAGAGTTAGGGGAAGGGTACGGGTTAGTGATAGAGTAAGGGTAGGGGTTAGAGCTTCTAGCTGTTATGCTGTGATTAGGGTTACAATTCGGTTGGGGTTAGTGTTAGAGTTAGGATGAGGGTTAGAACTTTGATTTGGTAAGGATTACGGTTAGGATCATGGTTATTCTGTTAGGGTTAGAGCTGCAATTAAGTTAGTGGATTTCCTACTCCCAGTTATTCCAAGGTGCGGGAGACCTCAAGAAAAGGAGACTCGGAGATAAAGGAGATTCCAAAGCAGGGGAGACTTCAAAAACAGGAAGGCTCTCATATCTGTATTTACATCCCATAGCAGGGCTCCCTCTGCATATTTTAAAGTTTGAGTTAAAACTTGAGCCACCGAAGTTATTTTTTAGCCACCAATAAAAAACTATAGTCACTGTTCTATCACTATATCGTATGTGCTAAGCAAGGCATAAACAGGTGATGGGTATGAGAAAAGAGATGTACGAAAACATCTTATGACACGACACTGCAATTTGACGATTTCGTTAGGGTTAGGGATGTCTATTCTATTTCGAAGTCCTATGTCTAGCCGATTCTACTCGGCTCCAAGATCGAATGCATCATGGGATGCCTGCTGTCAGTCATGACGTCACCAGAGCCAGCATGTCAGGCAACACAGGAACCGAAGTTAGCCGAATGCTATAGAGTACTGAAGTGTGACGTCACGGTGGCATGACAACGAACCCACTGGTTCTACACAACCCACTGGCTCCATAACATTAACTCCTTAAAAATTTTGTGCGTACGTAAAACACGAGTGTGTGCGCTGCAGACAGCGGTAAAGCATCGGTAGCAAGTCGATCTTACAATATTTAATTAATTAAATTTTTTTAATTATTATTTTTTTCGTTGCTTTTCACTTCCATCCTTTGGAAATCAATAAAAACTGCAATAATGACTCTCAGAATGATGGTTACAGTCGGGTACCAGTGGGTTTGTTGTCATGCCACCGTGACGTCATCACTTCGCAGCTCTATGCGCATTGTGAATGCGTACGTCACAGGTCAACAAAAGTGGCGCTCGAAATATCACCGCTCGTCGCTTCGAAATTTTGCAACAGGTTATATTAGTTTAATACAGAGTATTGTGATACATAGTAAGTCCCAGGATAGCGGAGAAAGGTTCGTGTTTAGAATAAACCCAGTTTGGAAGTTCTAGTCTCGAAAAACGCACCATAAAACCGCCTTGAGTGAATCACTCAAGGGCTCCTCCAAAGAAAAGAATAGGCTCGCGTTGTAACCCTACTCTTGTTGGGTTACATTATTGTATCTACAGGCACATAGCTCTAGGACTATAGCCTGCGTACAGTTGCCGCAGGTAGGCCTGCGGCAACTGTACGCGGGCTATAGTCCTAGAGCTGCAGGCACCACCACCAGCTACAACCACCAACACAACAACAACAACAATTTAATTTGCTCTCTGCATCTAATAGTATGTTACCATAATTGTTACTGATTTTACATTTATTGACGCACACTGTTGTTGCCAACAATTTTGGTGTTTACCGTTACTTAATGTTATACTGTTCTGTTCTTAAGCCTTAGTTCTTCTTAAGCTTTAGCTCTTCTTAGGACATAAAGCCTTAGTCTGTTAGTATTAATTATTTATTGTGCATGTACTCATACCGGTGTTACGTAATTTAGTTTGGCAAATAAACTGAGCGTGTGGGGCAGTAACACTAGTAGCTGTATCATATCAAGGGGCTACAACACAAGTATAGATGCTAGCCACGTTCTCTCCTTCGATCTACAATACGTGGCCGCACATCGAGCGTCATCGTTACTCTTGACACAAGCAATCTTCAGAGGATCCCTTTAAGTTTTAGCTTCTTTGTCTCCGTCATTCCGTATTGTAATTCTCTCTCTTCTTTTTTAGTTGGTAACTTGAGGCTTTTTCCACTGCGATCCGCAGTGTTGATCTTTCTATTCGTTCTGTCTCTTTTCGGCTTCGGTATCGTCTCCCGGACCTTGCGAAGACTAATATTTACGACGTTACATAGTCGTGTGATTTCTACCAGCGTAGACACGTCCGAGTGGCTACTCAATATTACGTTTGCTCAGCCCATCTTGGCGTGCAGGCTACATGAATAGTTTACACGCACGCGCCACCTGCCGTGCTTCTGTTATGCTGTGATTAGGGTTACGATTTCAATTATTATTAAATGATATAGAGATAGCTAGCGGCAGAGAGAGGAAGTAAGAGAAACAGAAAGAGTAGGACAGGGAGAAAGAGAGAGAGAGAGCGAGAGAGAGAGAGGGGGCAGAGAGAGAAAGAGAGAGGGGACAGAGACAGAGAGGCGGTAGAGAAAGAGAAGGGGCAGTTAGAGAGAGAGAGAAGAGAGAGGGGAAGAGAGAGGAGAAGGACAGAGAGAAGAGAAAGAGAGAGGGGCAGAAGAGGAGAGAGGACAAAGAGGAAGAGAGTGAGAGGGCGAAGGAAAGAGAGGAATAGAGAGAGAGAGAGGAGAGAGAGAGAGAGGGAGAGAGAGAGAGAGAGAGAGAAGAGAGAGAGAGAGAGAAAAGAGAAAGAAGGGCAGAGAGAGAGAGAGAGAGAGAGGGCAGAGAGAAAGAGAGAGATGGGGCAGAGAGAGAGAGAGAGAGAAAGAGAGGGGCAGAGAGAGCGAGAGAGGGACAGAGAGAGGAAGAGAGAGATGGGCAGAGAAAAAAAGAGAGAGAGAGAGAGAGCGAGAGAGAGAGAGCGAGAGAGAGAGCGAGACAATGAGAGAGGGGGACAGAGCGAGAAAGCGAGAGAGGGAACAGAGAGAGAGGAAGAAAGAAGAAGCAAAGAGAGAAAGAGAGAGGAAGAGAGAGGAAGAGAGAGAGGGAGACAGAGAGAAAGAGCTAGGAGGCAGAGAGCGAGAGGGGGCAGAAAGAGAGAGGGGGCACCGAGAGAGAGGGGGTACAGAGAGAGAGAGAGAGAGCGAGAGGGGGGCAGAGAGAGAAAGAGAGGTGGGACAGAGAGAAGCAACTAAGAAGAAAGAACACACCTAAAGAGTTGAACCTTTACTTTCCCGAGAAAGTATAACAACTTAAACAAGAAATCAACAAAACAACATCTATATTGAAACGAGAACAAAATCAAATAGAACGAACAATATGACAGAAGGAATCCACGTCTACTCAATACACCAGAAAGCTCAGTAAAACTAGCTCATCTATAAACTAAAGATACAGCACCACTAGTCGGTAGTCCACCTTAGGAAGTTAGGTCACAATATGTCTCCTCTGAGGCAGCGCTATGCTTCTATAATTTGTATAGTTAGTATAAAGAAAAACTAATATGTTGGCATTGTCAGGCACCAAACTCTCCCTCCCCAGGTTAAAAACACCACTTGCAGTAGAGAATACCCTCTCATATTTCAGCAGAATAACCGATGAGGTGTAAGGTAACAACGCTACAGCAAAACGGTTGTTTACTAATACTATCATATTGTATCGGATCGTTATTCTGGAACTTTTTTCAGTGCCGGTGTCTACTCAGTGAACTGCAGGCAGTAAACTTGCATCCACACTTGTCGCACACGTACGGCTTTTATCCTGTGTGAGTGCGCATGTGTCTCTTGAGATCACTGGAGGTTGTACACTTATAGTCACATCGCTCACATGCAAACGGTTTCTCTCCCGTGTGAGTGCGCATGTGTACCTTGAGATAATCGAGGGTAGTATATCTGTGTTCACATATATCGCACGCATACGGCCTCTCTCCCGTGTGAGTGCGCATGTGTGTCTTAAGCTTACCGGACGTACAACACTTATATTCACATCTCTCACACGCAAACGGTTTCTCTCCCGTGTGAGTGTGCATGTGTTTCCTGAGGTCACTGGAGGTCGTACACTTGTATTCACATGTGTCGCACGCAAATGGCTTCTCTCCCGTGTGAGTGCGCATGTGTGTCTTGTGATTACCGAGGCTCGTACATCTGTGTTCACATATATCGCACGCGTACGGCCTCTCTCCCGTGTGAGTGCGCATGTGTGACTTAAACATATCGGATCTAGAACACTTATATTCACATCTCTCACATGAAAACGGTTTCTCTCCCGTGTGAGTGCGCATGTGTACCTTGAGATTATCGAGACTCTTATATCTGTGTTCACATATATCGCACACATACGGTTTCTCTCCCGTGTGAGTGCGCATGTGTGACTTAAGCTTACTGGACGTAGAACACTTATATTCACATCTCTCACATGCAAACGGTTTCTCTCCCGTGTGAGTGCGCATGTGTTCCTTGAGATTACGGAGGCTCGTATATCTGTGTTCACATATATCACACACGTACGGCCTTTCTCCCGTGTGAGTGCGCATGTGTGACTTAAGCATACCGGACGTAGAACACTTATATTCACATCTCTCACACGCAAACGGTTTCTCTCCCGTGTGAGTGCGCATGTGTGTCTTGAGATTATCGAGACTCGTATATCTGTGTTCACATATATCGCACACGTACGGTTTCTCTCCTGTGTGAGTGCGCATGTGTGACTTAAGCATACGCGAGACGTAGAACACTTATATTCACATCTCTCACACGCAAACGGTTTCTCTCCTGTGTGAGTGCGCATGTGTCTCTTTAGAGTATCGAGGGTCCTATATCTGTGTTCACATATGTAGCACGTAAACGGTTTCTCTCCCGTGTGAGTGCGCATGTGTACCTTGAGATTACTGGAGGTCGTACACCTGTGTTCACATATATCGCACGCATACGGCCTCTCTCCCGTGTGAGTGCGCATGTGTGTCTTAAGCATATCAGACGTAGAACACTTATATTCACATCTATCACATGCATATGGCGTCTCTCCCGTGTGAGTGCGCATGTGTACCTTGAGATTATCGAGACTCTTATATCTGTGTTCACATATATCGCACGCGAATGGCCTCTCTCCCGTGTGAGTGCGCATGTGTGATTTAAGCGTACCGAACGTAGAACACTTATATTCACATCTCTCACATGAAAACGGTTTCTCTCCCGTGTGAGTGCGCATGTGTACCTTGAGATGACTGAGGGTAGTATATCTGTGTTCACATATATCGCATGCGTACGGTTTCTCGCCCGTGTGAGTGCGCATGTGTGACTTAAGCTTACTGGACGTAGAACACTTATATTCACATCTCTCACATGCAAACGGTTTCTCTCCCGTGTGAGTGCTCATGTGTGACTTAAGCATAGCGAACGTATAACACTTATATTCACATCTTTCACACGCAAACGGTTTCACTCCCGTGTGAGTGCGCATATGTTTCCTGAGATCCCCGGAGGTCTTACACCTGTATTCACATGTGTCGCACGCAAATGGTTTCTCTTCCGTGTGAGTGCGCATGTGTGTCTTGAGATTACTGGAGGTCCTACACCTGTATTCACATATATTGCATGCATATAGCTTTTCACCCGTGTGAGTATGCATGTGTTTCTTGAGATCAATGGAGGTCCTACACCTGTATTCACATCTCTCACATGCCTATGGCTTCTCTGCTGTGTGAGTGCGCATATGTTTCTTGAGATAACGTAGCTTGGAGCCGGCATATCCACACACATCACACACGTAGGACTTCTCTCCTCCAGGGCGTGGCATATCTGAATGAGAAGGCTCCATCAGACAAATCGCAGGTGCTCAGTTCTGTCTCGTTTCGAGCTCTCGCTAACGCTCTCCTGCTGGGAAAAATATGTCAAAATAAATATCATCATTGACATACTGCAACACTGTATGTCACTGCCCCAGACGTAACAAGTATGCTGCTACGACGATGGGGTCACGGCTACAAATCCACCAGTGGTGACGTCACCAGATTTAGCAATACGCGTGGGTGATGTGTGGCGAGTGGAATAAAAGCTCTTGCATCTCACAGAGAAAATTTTGAATCGAACTATGGCAGGGCTACCGCTGGCGTTCGCCACCTTCGCAAAATGCGATAAATAAATAACAGTGGCGATTTTATGACACTAAGTGACGAATACAATTGGCGAATGGTTTGCCTGCTCAGAAAATTACAATTGACTAACGAAATCATCAAATTGCAGTGTCGTGTCATAAGATGTTTTCGTACATCTCTTTCTCATACCCATCACCTGTTTATGCCTTGCTTAGCACATACGATAAAGTGAACAGTGGCTATAGTTTTTATTGGGTGGCTGAAAATAACTTCGGTGGCTCAAGTCTTAACTCAAACTTTAAAATACGCAGAAGGAGCCCTGCTATGGGGTGTAAATACAGATAAGGAAGCCTTTCTGTTTTGAAGTCTCTCTTTCTTGGAGCCTCCCTGCTTTGGAATCTCCTTTATCTCCGAGTCTCCCTTTCTTGAGGTCTCCCACAACTTGGAATAACTGGGAGTAGGGAATCCACTAACTGAATTGCAACTCTAATCCTAACAGAATAACCATGATCCTAACCTTAATCCTTACCAAATCAAAGTTCTAACCCTCACCCTAACTCTAACGCCTAACCCCAACCGAATTGTACCCCTATCACAGCATAACAGAAGCTCTAACCCTTACCCATACTCTATCACTTACCCATTACTCTAACTCTAACACTAACANGTGCGCATGTGTGACTTGAGCATATCGGACGTAGAACACTTATATTCACATCTCTCACATGCAAACGGTTTCTCTCCCGTGTGAGTGCGCATGTGTCTCTTGAGCTGACTGGAGCTATTACACTTATATTCACATCTCTCACATGCAAACGGTTTCTCTCCCGTGTGAGTGCGCATGTGTACCTTGAGATGACCGAGGGTAGTATATCTGTGTTCACATATATCGCACGCATACGACTTCTCTCCCGTGTGAGTGGGCCCGTGTTTCTTGAAATCACTGGAGCTCCTACACCTGTATTCACATATATCGCACGCATATGGCTTTTCACCTGTGTGAGTGTACATGTGTGTCTTAAGCCTATCAGACGTAGAACACTTATATTCACATGTATCGCATGCATATGGCTTCTCTGCTGTGTGAGTGCGCATATGTTTCTTGAGATAACGTAGCTTGGAGCTGGCATATCCACACACATCACACACGTAGGACTTCTCTCCTCCAGGGCGTGGCATATCTGAATGAGATGGCTCCATCAGACAGATCGCAGGTGCTCAGTTCTGCCTCGTTTCGAGCTCTCGCTAACGCTCTCCTGCTGGGAAAAAGATGTCAAAATAAATATCATCATTGACATACTGCAACACTGCATGTCACTGCCCCAGACGAAACGAGTTATGCTACGAAAATGGGGTCACAGCTACAAATCCACCAGTGGTGACGTCACCAGATTTAGCAATACGCGTGGGTGATGTGTGGAGAGTGGAATAAAAGCTCTTGCATCTCACAGAGAAAACTTTGAATCAAACTATGGCAGGGCTACCGCTGGCGTTCGCCACCTTCGCAAAATGCGATGAATAAATAACAGTGGCGATTTTATGACACTAAGTGACGAATACAATTGGCGAATGGTTTTCCCGCTCAGAAAATTACAATTGACTAACGAAATCGTCAAATTGCAGTGTCGTGTCATAAGATGTTTTCGTACATCTCTTTTCTCATACCCATCACCTGTTTATGCCTTGCTTAGCTCATACGATAAAGTGAACAGTGGCTATAGTTTTTTATTGGTGGGTGAAAAATAACTTCGGTGGCTCAAGTCTTAACTCAAACTTTAAAATAGCAGAGGGAGCCCTGCTATGGGATGTAAATACAGATAAGGGAGCCTTCCTGTTTTTGAAGTCTCTCTTTCTTGGAGTCTCCCCTGCTTTGGAATCTCCTTTATCTCCGAGTCTCCCTTTCTTGAGGTCTCCCACACCTTGGAATAACTGGGAGTAGGGAATCCACTAACTGAATTGCAGCTCTAATCCTAACAGAATAACCATGATCCTAACCTTAATCCTTACCAAATCAAAGTTCTAACCCTCACCCTAACTCTAACACTAACCCCAACCGAATTGTAACCCTAATCACAGCATAACAGAAGCTCTAACCCTTACCCTTACTCTATCACTAACCCTTACCCTAACTCTAACACTTACCCTTCCCCTAACTCTAACACTAACAAAATCGTAACCCTAATCACAGCATAACAGAAGCTCTAACCCTTACCCTAACTCTAACACTTACCCTTACCCTAACTCTAACACTAACAAAATCGTAACCCCAATCGCAGCGTAACAGAAGCTCTAACCCTTACCCTNCCAGACGTAACAAGGTATGCTACGACGATGGGGTCACGGCTACAAATCCACCAGTGGTGACGTCACCAGATTTAGCAATACGCGTGGGTGATGTGTGGAGAGTGGAATAAAAGCTCTTGCATCTCACAGAGAAAACTTTGAATCGAACTATGGCAGGGCTACCGCTGGCGTTCGCCACCTTCGCAAAATGCAATAAATAAATAACAGTGGCGATTTTATGACAGTAAGTGACGAATACAATTGGCGAATGGTTTTCCCGCTCAGAAAATTACAATTGACTAACGAAATCGTCAAATTGCAGTGTCGTGTCATAAGATGTTTTCGTACATCTCTTTTCTCATACCCATCACCTGTTTATGCCTTGCTTAGCACATACGATAAAGTGAACAGTGGCTATAGTTTTTTATTGGTGGCTGAAAAATAACTTCGGTGGCTCAAGTCTTAACTCAAACTTTAAAGGGAGAGTTTACTCTAGGTTCAAATGTTATTTTCAGCTAATTTAGGTTATAATTACGCTACATAAAAAGTTTCATGGTTCAATTACCATTAGAAATATTATTAAAAAATGTTTTAAAACAAACGACTACAGTTTGATTACAACGACGGTGGCGCCACTCAAAGTGACTGATCTGAAAAGTTTCGCAAAACCACTTTCCAGCCAAGGGCTACAGACCGAGGGTGTTTCTTATCATTCATTTAAAAGCAAAAGGATTGTAATATCTTATAAACGACATTTAGTTTCAGTTATAATATGGATAAATTTGCCCTAAAATGAATATCGTTCGGTTAAATAGCATTTAGGTATAAATATAATTGCACTTTTGTGATTAGCCCTCGGCCTGTAACCCTACAAAATTAATTGTCAATACACAGCTTTTTCGGGGTGGCAGCACGGTCGCGGGTGTCATGGCGCCGTTCAAATTTCGTAGCGTTGATGTGTAAATAATTAATTAGGTATCTGGTGACAAATACATGTGAGTATAGACGATTTGTTATACAGTAAGTACAGTTGTATGCAGTAAAATCCTAGAGGCTACTATCCCTTTAAAATACGCAGAGGGAGCCCTGCTATGGGATGTAAATACAGATAAGGGAGCCTTTCTGTTTTTGAAGTCTCTCTTTCTTGGAGCCTCCCCTGCTTTGGAATCTCCTTTATCTCCGAGTCTCCCTTTCTTGAGGTCTCCCACACCTTGGAATAACTAGGAGTAGGGAATCCACTAACTGAATTGCAGCTCTAATCCTAACAGAATAACCATGATCCTAACCTTAATCCTTACCAAATCAAAGTTCTAACCCTCACCCTAACTCTAACACTAACCCCAACCGAATTGTAACCCTAATCACAGCATAACAGAAGCTCTAACCCTTACCCTTACTCTATCACTAACCCTTACCCTAACTCTAACACTTACCATTACTCTAACTCTAACAAAATCGTAACCCCAATCGCAGCGTAACAGAAGCACGGCAGGTGGCGCGTGCGTGTAAACTATTCATGTAGCCTGCACGCCAAGATGGGCTGAGCAAGCGTAACATGGTTTAGTAGCCACTCTGACGTGTCTACGCTGCTAGAAATCACACGACCATGTAACGTCGTAAATATTAGTCTTCGCAAGGTCCGTGAGACTATACCGAAGACGAAAAGAGACAGAACGAAGAGAAGGATCAACCCTGCGGATCGCAGTGGAAAAAGCCTCAAGTTACCAACTAAAGAGGAAGGGAGAGAATTACAATACGGAATGACGGAGACAAAGAAGCTAAAACTTAAAGGGATCATCTGAAGATGGCGCGTGTCGAAAGTAACGATGACGCTCGATGTGCGGCCACGTATTGTGGATTGAAGGAGAGTTACGTGGCTAGCATCTCTACTTGTGTTGTAGCCCCTTGATCTGATACGGCTACTAGTGTTACTGCCCCACATGCTCAGCTTATTTGCCAAACTAAATTACGTAATGCCGGTGTCACGGTCTGAGATTATCCCAGTCTGAAATTACCCCAGCACGTCGTGCGCATGAGTCACGCATGCGCAGTAGCGCTGCGTGTAAAGCGCAGTAGCATTGGGCAAATGAGACTGCCGCGGTGGTGGCAGTCAGCGTTGTACCGTAGAGTTTGGACCGTAGTGCCTGCGATAACTAATACATATACAGTCCGACCTCCTCTATCCGGCCACGTCGGGACCGGCACCCATCCGGATATATGGGATTTGGCCGGATATGAGAGTTATGCTCAAACACAGCATTTCTATGCAGTTCATTAGGGTTCATGCATGTGATAATGTATTTACTCGTTGCTATGATTATTTCTAACAAACTGTCGTGTTTTATGGTTTATATGAAATGGAAATAAAATGAAATAAAACAGAAATTTTACCGGAGGAAAAAGCGGACACGATAACATTTACTGGTCTATCTCAAAAATTTAATGGCATCTCTTCATTATGTATGCAATGTTGACGATAGTATTTTGCCGGCATTTACGTGGGGTTACGGTTTACACTATCGTATGTGTATGCTTTCCAGCCATCTTTGTTCAGTAATTACATAACAGTGTATTTACAAAAAGGCCAAGCGTAGGAAAAAATCGCAGAAAAAACGGCTGTACACGGCCGCTTGCTGCACACACACAGCGGCCGGCACGCCGCAGCGCGCGCGCGACATACGCACCGCACCACGCACCACCACACGCAAGCACGACAGCACATCACACACACACACTTCCTGCCGTGGCCCCCCTCGCTTTGCACGGCCTGGTGTGTGGGTCGTTTGTGCGTCTGTGTGCGGGCTCTGTGTGGGGTGTGTGGGAGTGCGCGTGTGCGTGCGCGTCGCGGCGTGTGAGTGTGTTCGTGCCGCTGCGCATGCGTGGCGTATTGTGTGCGTCGTGTGCGGTCCGCGGCTGGGCCTGCCGCCCGCAGTTCGGGTGTTACCTACTTCGATCCCCCCGCAAACTCGCTGTTTACGGGCTGAAGGAGGAGGCGTGCGAAGGTGATGGAGATAAATGAAGGAAGGTGATGGAGGAGAGGAGGAGAGGAGGGAGACAGTCGTAATGAGCAAGAGGTGAGAAGGTGATGGAGATCGAAGGGAGAAGGTGATGTGGAAGTGAGGGCGAGAAGGGGAGAAGGAGGATAGGAGGGCGATAAGTTGAATTATTTCACATCAGGAGTAGATAACAACATGATGTGTTTATTCTCTGTTTATTCCTGACTGTTGTGATGCACTCTAGCCATTCATAGGGTTAATGTGCTGTCCTTGTACAACTATATTCTGACAAGGTGAAGTTCATTTGAGTCACTGCACTGCATTAGCTATATGCATACAGCGAAGTTTGATAGTTAGCAATTAGAATACACATGGCACGTTGCATCAGTAGCAGCTCGACTGTTTTAGCATTGTTGCGAGTTTTTGTTGCTAGAAATCGGTGGTGGGGTATATTTTAATCGTCCCGTTTCATTACACAGCAGATCATTATAAATAACTATTGTAACGTTGTTATCAAGTACTCGCTATTATATAACAGGAGCGGCAGAGCATCTGGGCTCATCTGGGGTCTGTTGCTTACGGTTAAGGCCTAGGAACCACTCGCGATTCTGTACGCTAGCCGGCAGCGTATATGTTCGTTCACGAATTTTACAACGCGTACGATGTGGACACATCTGTATCGGTCGTCAACGCTTCCAAGCCTCGTCTGCTAGCACTTGATTGGCTGCTAAAAAGCAATTCGGGCGTTCCGAGAATGTTTCGAGAACGATGATTCGACTGCTGGGCCGCGCTGGCGTAGCTTGGTGCAAGCGCATGCAAGTCGCATGCGCCGTAGCGTCAGCGATGTTAGTAAATATTAAACATGCTGAAGTGCGGCGATCAGCCGCGCGTATGGGATCGCGTGCGAAGATAACGCCTGACCGTGATGACGCGGAACACCGCGCGACGCCGCACGTATTATCGCGATCGCTAAGCGCAGCGTAGCAAATCGCACAGTGTGTCCTAGGCTTTATGAACGTAGCAATTTCCGTCGTGCGTAGTGACACAGTTTGTTAGGCCGGGAGCGTATGCAGATACGGCAGTTGCGTACACATACATTGTAGGACATTTTTTATCGCTCACGTAATCTCCCCCCATTGCCGATTTGGTTTATTTTTATAAATGAATACTGCTTTCACTTCGAATTTGTGTCATAGATTCCAGCTATCTATTTTATTCTATCTATAAAGATTTCAACATATGAGCCAGGATCTCCAAGTCAATTAGAGGGAGGGGGAGTTCTTCTCTCGCCACCTTCCCTCCCCACTGCGTCCACCTCCCTCCTCCTGCTCTACGCTCCCTCCCCTGCCTCCACTTCACTCCTTACTCTCACTTCCACCCCTTACCTCCGCATCTCCCCTCCCCTGCTTCGACCTCCGCTTCCCCTGCTCCCACCGTTCCATCCCCTTGCCCACCATCTCGCACGGACCTATTGTATACCGGCCGTTTCGCCGCTCGCAATACACAGCGTTACCGTTTTCCTGTCCCTGGCTAATTTCCTATCTCGTCTTTTTATCTAGACTTTCTCTCTCTCTCTCTTACTATAATAAAAAAATTAAAACCCAGCGATGATGCCTTTCACTGCCCCCTCAATAATACTGTTGTTCCTATGCCCTGAGTGTAGAGTATAGACATCATAATATATT